TAGAAGTTTGTGTGAAACTGTTAGTAGAAGTTTGTGTGAAACTGTCAGTCAGTAGAAGTTTGTGTGAAACTGTCAGTCAGTAGAAGTTTGTATGAAACTGTTAGTAGAAGTTTGTGTGAAACTCGGTCAGTAGAAGTTTGTGTGAAACTGTTAGTAGAAGTTTGTGTGAAACTGTCAGTCAGTAGAAGTTTGTGTGAAACTGTTAGTAGAAGTTTGTGTGAAACTGTCAGTCAGTAGAAGTTTGTGTGAAACTGTCAGTCAGTAGAAGTTTGTGTGAAACTGTCAGTCAGTAGAAGTTTGTGTGGAACTGTCAGTCAATAGAGGTTTGTGTAAAACTGTCAGTCAGTAGAAGTTTGTGTGAAACTGTCAGTCAGTAGAAGTTTGTGTGAAACTGTCAGTCAGTAGAAGTTTGTGTGAAACTATCAGTAGAAGTTTGTGTGAAACTGTCAGTCAGTAGAAGTTTGTGTGAAACTGTCAGTAGAAGTTTGTGTGAAACTGTCAGTCAGTAGAAGTTTGTGTGAAACTGTTAGTCAGTAGAAGTTTGTGTGAAACTGTCAGTCAGTAGAAGTTTGTGGGAAACTGTCAGTAGAAGTTTGTGTGAAACTGTCAGTCAGTAGAAGTTTGTGTGAAACTGTTAGTAGAAGTTTGTGTGAAACTGTCAGTCAGTAGAAGTTTGTGTGAAACTGTCAGTCAGTAGTAGTTTGTGTGAAACTGTCAGTCAGTAGAAGTTTGTGTGAAACTGTCAGTCAGTAGAAGTTTGTGTGAAACGGTCAGTCAGTGGATGTTTGTGTGAAACTGTCAGTAGAAGTTTGTGTGAAACTGTCAGTCAGTAGAAGTTTGTGTGAAACTGTCAGTCAGTAGAAGTTTGTGTGAAACTGTCAGTCAGTAGAAGTTTGTGTGAAACTGTTAGTAGAAGTTTGTGTGAAACTGTCAGTCAGTAGAAGTTTGTGTGAAACTGTTAGTAGAAGTTTGTGTGAAACTGTCAGTCAGTAGAAGTTTGTGTGAAACTGATAGTCAGTAGAAGTTTGTGTGAAACTGTCAGTCAGTAGAAGTTTGTGTGAAACTGTCAGTCAGTAGAAGTTTGTGTGAAACTGTCAGTCAGTAGAAGTTTGTGTGAAACTGTCAGTCAGTAGAAGTTTTATGTGAAACTGTCAGTCAGTGGATGTTTGTGTGAAACTGTCAGTAGAAGTTTGTGTGAAACTGTCAGTCAGTAGAAGTTTGTGTTAAACTGTTAGTAGAAGTTTGTGTGAAACTGTCAGTCAGTTGAAGTTTGTGTGAAACTGTCAGTCAGTAGAAGTTTGTGTGAATCTGTCAGTCAGTAGAAGTTTGTGTGAAACTGTCAGTCAGTAGAAGTTTGTGTGAAACTGTCAGTCAGTAGAAGTTTGTGTGAAACTGTCAGTCAGTGGATGTTTGTGTGAAACTCAGTCAGTAGAAGTTTGTGTGAAACTGTCAGTCAGTAGAAGTTTGTGTGAAACTGTCAGTCAGTAGAAGTTTGTGTGAAAACTGTCAGTCAGTAGAAGTTTGTGTGAAACTGTCAGTCAGTAGAAGTTTGTGTGAAACTGTCAGTCAGTGAATGTTTGTGTGAAACTGTCAGTAGAAGTTTGTGTGAAACTGTCAGTCAGTAGAAGTTTGTGTGAAACTGTTAGTAGAAGTTTGTGTGAAACTGTCAGTCAGTAGAAGTTTGTGTGAAACTGTCAGTCAGTAGAAGTTTGTATGAAACTGTTAGTAGAAGTTTGTGTGAAACTGTTAGTCAGTAGAAGTTTGTGTGAAACTGTCAGTCAGTAGAAGTTTGTGTGAAACTGTTAGTAGAAGTTTGTGTGAAACTGTTAGTAGAAGTTTGTGTGAAACTGTCAGTCAGTAGAAGTTTGTGTGAAACTGTTAGTCAGTAGAAGTTTGTGTGAAACTGTCAGTCAGTAGAAATTTGTGTGAAACGTTCAGTCAGTGGATGTTTGTCTGAAACTGTCAGTAGAAGTTTGTGTGAAACTGTTAGTAGAAGTTTGTGTGAAACTGTCAGTCAGTAGAAGTTTGTGTGAAACTGTCAGTCAGTAGAAGTTTGTGTGAAAACTGTCAGTCAGTAGAAGTTTGTGTGAAACTGTCAGTCAGTAGAAGTTTGTGTGAAACTGTCAGTCAGTGAATGTTTGTGTGAAACTGTTCATCAGAAGTTGGTGTGAAACTGTCAGTCAGTAGAAGTTTGTGTGAAACTGTTAGTAGAAGTTTGTGTGAAACTGTCAGTCAGTAGAAGTTTGTGTGAAACTGTCAGTCAGTAGAAGTTTGTATGAAACTGTTAGTAGAAGTTTGTGTGAAACTCGGTCAGTAGAAGTTTGTGTGAAACTGTTAGTAGAAGTTTGTGTGAAACTGTCAGTCAGTAGAAGTTTGTGTGAAACTGTTAGTAGAAGTTTGTGTGAAACTGTCAGTCAGTAGAAGTTTGTGTGAAACTGTCAGTCAGTAGAAGTTTGTGTGAAACTGTCAGTCAGTAGAAGTTTGTGTGAAACTGTCAGTCAGTAGAAGTTTGTGTGAAACTATCAGTAGAAGTTTGTGTGAAACTGTCAGTCAGTAGAAGTTTGTGTGAAACTATCAGTAGAAGTTTGTGTGAAACTGTCAGTCAGTAGAAGTTTGTGTGAAACTGTTAGTCAGTAGAAGTTTGTGTGAAACTGTCAGTCAGTAGAAGTTTGTGGGAAACTGTCAGTAGAAGTTTGTGTGAAACTGTCAGTCAGTAGAAGTTTGTGTGAAACTGTTAGTAGAAGTTTGTGTGAAACTGTTAGTAGAAGTTTGTGTGAAACTGTCAGTCAGTAGAAGTTTGTGTGAAACTGTCAGTCAGTAGAAGTTTGTGTGAAACTGTCAGTCAGTAGAAGTTTGTGTGAAACTGTCAGTCAGTAGTAGTTTGTGTGAAACTGTCAGTCAGTAGAAGTTTGTGTGAAACTGTCAGTCAGTAGAAGTTTGTGTGAAACTGTCAGTCAGTGGATGTTTGTGTGAAACTGTCAGTCAGTAGAAGTTTGTGTGAAACTGTCAGTCAGTAGAAGTTTGTGTTAAACTGTTAGTAGAAGTTTGTGTGAAACTGTCAGTCAGTTGAAGTTTGTGTGAAACTGTCAGTCAGTAGAAGTTTGTGTGAAACTGTTAGTAGAAGTTTGTGTGAAACTGTCAGTCAGTAGAAGTTTGTGTGAAGCTGTCAGTCAGTAGAAGTTTGTGTGAAACTGTCAGTCAGTGGATGTTTGTGTGAAACTCAGTCAGTAGAAGTTTGTGTGAAACTGTCAGTCAGTAGAAGTTTGTGTGAAACTGTCAGTCAGTAGAAGTTTGTGTGAAAACTGTCAGTCAGTAGAAGTTTGTGTGAAACTGTCAGTCAGTAGAAGTTTGTGTGAAACTGTCAGTCAGTGAATGTTTGTGTGAAACTGTCAGTAGAAGTTTGTGTGAAACTGTCAGTCAGTAGAAGTTTGTGTGAAAGTGTTAGTAGAAGTTTGTGTGAAACTGTCAGTCAGTAGAAGTTTGTGTGAAACTGTCAGTCAGTAGAAGTTTGTATGAAACTGTTAGTAGAAGTTTGTGTGAAACTCAGTCAGTAGAAGTTTGTGTGAAACTGTTAGTAGAAGTTTGTGTGAAACTGTTAGTCAGTAGAAGTTTGTGTGAAACTGTCAGTCAGTAGAAGTTTGTGTGAAACTGTTAGTAGAAGTTTGTGTGAAACTGTCAGTCAGTAGAAGTTTGTGTGAAACTGTCAGTCAATAGAGGTTTGTGTAAAACTGTCAGTCAGTAGAAGTTTGTGTGAAACTGTTCATCAGAAGTTTGTATCCCATGTGATGTGAAGATAATCAGTATGCATGTATGGTTTGTGGGATGATACATAAGGATACAAAATGAAATGTATCATGTATCACATTGTTGAGTTTTGTTTTGTGCTGAACCGTTTCAACCTTTTCAACATGTCAATGTTATGGAAACACATACCGGTACTCATTGCTGGATAGATTCTCCATGGATACAGAATTTGCTTTGAAGCTCGTCCCAAGACTCTAGTGTCTTGACACTAACATCAGCGACACACAAATGGTGACTTGTGCCTTTAATGTAATGCATAGTTGTTTGAGGTAGATGGATGTTTTATCCTACTTCTCTATACAAAGATCTTGGCAAAGGACAATGATAAGAAACCTTGGGATTTAAAGTCAATAACAAATCAAATATGTTAGTTATCAGTGATATTGATTGATGGCCAGTCCTCTAGACACAGACTGCCGCTAGACCTAAAGATAAGGACAATCACCAGTAGGATATCTATTGGAGTCTTGTACAATCTGCGAGTGTTTGTTGTGAGTTCGTACACATCTCTACTGGAGTGAGGAAGTGTCAGTTTACTGAGACAGGGCTGCCTGGGCCACACAGGCAGTACTGGAGGGGGCTAGTCTGCTGTAGGCAGTGCTACCAAGCTTCACGTCAATAACCAGTTATACTGTACCACCCAAAGTTGGCAAAGCACTGTGAAACATGCAAGAATCAGTAAGAGCAAAGGTACATAACCCTTTATGTGAGATGTTTGTGTCATGAGTTATGTGTGTTTGCTGATGTACTGAGGTAAATACCCTTTGGTATGTTTGTTGGGAGTTTGTTCCATGTAGGAATCTTTGTTTGAGATGAACTACAGTAAACTATGGTTATAACGAACTCAAAGGGACCACTTATTTTAGTTCGTTATGACCGTAGTTCGTTATAAGCATGTACACAACATATATGCAGCAAATGGACGGGATCAAAACACATTTCGTTATATCCGTCAGTTCATTATAAGTATGTTCATTATAAACATAGTTTACTGTATAATGCTTCCCAATCATTTCTCTATCAATAATTCAAATCTCTACTGGGTCTTGATGAGAGAGAAATGTTGCATGATACTTGTGAGTAGTATTACTGCAAACCTTTATTGTCCAGTTCTGGAGATATAAAGGGTAGCTTAGTAGTTCAGTGCTTGTTCATCACGCGGAAGTCTTCAGAAACATGCTGAAATTTTGTTGCAGTACCTGCCCCTTTGAGATCCAGTATGAGGTGTGTGTGTTGGACATGGACAAGCCATGGGAGGAGTTTGTGGTGTGCCACTCCAACAACCCTGTCTCACACATCCGATGGGACGCCACAGGGTGGAGGCTGCTCACAGTCGACTGCGAGGGCACGTTTGATGTGTGGCAGATGCAGGTGAGTGTGATGAGTGTTGGGGGCACATTTGATGTGTGGCAGATGGTTGGGGCATATAATGAGGTTTGGGGCACATCGGTTTCATGGCAGATGCAGGTGATTGTGATAACTATTGGGCACGTTTGATGTGAGGCAGATGAATGCATGAGTGATGACTGTTGGGCACATTTGATGTGAGGCAGATGAAGGCATGAGTGTGATAACTATTGGGCACGTTTGATGTGAGGCAGATAAAGGCATGAGTCCGATGACTGTTTGGCACGTTTGATGTGAGTGTGATGACTGTTTGGCACGTTTGATGTAGGTGTTTGTGTGATGACCGTTCGGCACGTTTGATGTAGGTGTTGGTTTGATGACTGTTTGGCACGTTTGATGTGAGTGTGATGACTGTTTGGCACGTTTGATGTAGGTGTTGGTGTGATGACTGTTTGGCACGTTTGATGTGAGTGTGATGACTGTTTGGCACGTTTGATGTCGGTGTTTGTGTGATGACTGTTTTGCACATTTGATGTGAGTGTGATGACTGCTTGGCACGTTTGATGTGAGTGTGATGACTATTTGGCACGTTTGATGTAGGTGTTTGTGTAATGACTGTTTGGCACATTTGATGTAGGTGTTGGTGTGATGACTGTTTGGCATATTTGATGTGAGTGTGATTACTGTTTGGCACGTTTGATGTAGGTGTTTGTGTGATGACTGTTTTGGCACGTTTGATGTGAGTAATGACTCTTTGGCACGTTTGATGTAGGTGTTTGTGTGATGACTGTTTGGCACGTTTGATGTAGGTGTTGGTGTGATGACTGTTTGGCATGTTTGATGTGAGTGTGATGACTTTTTTGGCACATTTGATGTAGGTTTTTGTGTGATGACCGTTCGGCATGTTTGATGTAGGTGTTGGTGTGATGACTGTTTGGCACGTTTGATGTGAGTGTGATGACTGTTCGGCACGTTTGATGTAGGTGTTTGTGTGATGACTGTTTTGGCACGTTTGATGTGAGTGTGATGACTATTTGGCACGTTTGATGTAGGTGTTTGTGTGATGACTGTTTGGCACATTTGATGTAGGTGTTGGTGTGATGACTGTTTGGCACGTTTGATGTGATTGTGATGACTGTTTGGCACGTTTGATGTAGGTGTTGGTGTGATGACTGTTTGGCACGTTTGATGTGAGTGTGATGACTGTTTGGCACGTTTGATGTAGGTGTTTGTGTGATGACTGTTCTGCACATTTGATGTGAGTGTGATGACTGCTTGGCACGTTTGATGTGAGTGTGATGACTCTTTGGCACGTTTGATATAGGTGTTTGTGTGATGACTGTTTGGCACGTTTGATGTAGGTGTTGGTGTGATGACTGTTTGGCACGTTTGATGTAGGTGTTGGTGTGATGACTGTTTGGCACGTTTGATGTGAGTGTGATGACTTTTTGGCACATTTGATGTAGGTGTTGGTTAGGGCTGCAACGATACACCTAAGTCAAGATACGATACGTATCTCGATACTTACATCACGATTTGATACGTATCTCGATATGCTACGATACACATTGTGACAAGAGAAGACAAGAGATAAATGAATTAAACTTAGTTTATTAAAATGAAAACATAAATGAAAGTGAATGAATGTTCATGAGTCATAAAATATATACTGTAATGAGTAATTTTACTTAATGAATCATTTGCCATTTCCATGTAATGGCTAGCAAACACAAAAGTAACAGTCCTACATATCTGTGAGTTGTGACTAGATGGTAGGAGTAAATACTAAATGTACCAGTGTCCAGTAGCTAATGATTTGCCATTTTCATGTATAAAGGCAAAAAACAATTAAAAACAATTATAGCAACAGCCATGTTATACAACATTTGAAAGGTCTAATCCTAGTGTTTATAAATATGAAAGTTATGTTTATCACAATCTTTAAATAATGCATTGACAACTTAATTAAGTTCGTTGTAAAATAAAAAATGTGAACACATTCATAACGTCCAAATTAAGGACCAAAGAAGCGAAAATTTGACGATTTGGGGCAAATATAAGATTTCAAAAGATCTACTTATCATTTTTTTTTCTTTTTTATTATTTACGTAGATCTAATTGGAAAATTATTTTAAAAAGAATTATGAATAGTATCTGTTTTCATCCATTTCCGGATAACAGCGGCTGTCCGCTCAGTAACATGAAGAAATACCTCCGTTTTGGAAAGCTTCGTATGAATAACACGTTCGTCGAAGACTGACATATGACACATCGCTAGAAAGCTTGTTTTTTCATCTACACGCTCGTATCTTTGCCTGGATCGATCAGATTTCATTGGATAAAAAATTGTTTCTAATGACGCTTTCTTGCCGAAATCTGCTACAAGGTTCATGATTGGTCAATTTTAAGCACGTGACCTGAGGCAGGCAATCAAATTACAAATCCTCCTGTACAATGAATTTCAGATTTTTATGAAATGTTTTGGTTAAATCGTGTTATTCTGAACGTTTTAAGCAGGAAATTGCGATCTATATTAAAAATATGGAGCTTCGTGGATGTATCATGTTAGGTTACAAGCTGTGACAAAGATTTTCCATGCATATAATTCTTGTGAATACCTCACCTCTATCACATCAGTGCCATAAATTCCTGTTTATGCTGAGAACCACACTATAAATTTTTATAAATTTTCAACAGACGTCCACTACACTGCCAACATATCCATAGTTGTGAGGGAAACCCTATCCCTTGCCAGAGGCGCCACTGCGCATGCGCAAGGCGGGAATCTAGTCACTTCTTTCCTGTGTGTCCTGATGACAACAAGGAAATTTTTTTTGTTGCACATCCGAACACGTGATTGAGTTCTACATACAAGATAGATTGTCTCAAGCTTTATAGACTACAAGCAAAGAGCAGTTCTACAAGCAGAATGGGGGTATAGAAGATCGGAGTCTCTAGTAAGTAATTAGTTAAGAAAAGTGTTGTGGGATGAGATCTTCATCTCATAAGCAGACCCCTGTCTGTTCGGGCTGTGGACAACACCAAGCTCCTGGGGATCCTCAGCCTAGATGTCTCGCATGCAAGAAAAGCAGCTGTACACAGAAGTCAAGGTGCAGTTATTGCGAGCATCTGTCAAAAGAAAAATTTGACAAGCTCTCCAAGGCATGGATCAAAAATCTCGATTATAAAATGGTCACTAGAGCATCTACATCAAGAAAACAAGTGATTAAGCCCGTGGCGGCCAAAATTAATCACGGGGGTGACAAGCGAGTGTCGCGCGAGGGCGCCGTCTCACCTTATGAGGAGAAGAGACCCCGTCGCTCATCCCACTCTCCCAATAATGTTGAGGAGCAGATGCATGTTACCGGTCAAACAGAAAGTGCCTCTAACTTGCATCCGGCAACGTCTGGTACGGTCGATCATCGAGTTTGGACAGAAACTAACGATTTTCACCCTCTGCCGCGTTCCCCCTTTAACGTAAATGAGTTCACGGAAAGAATAACATATTCAATGTCTGTTATGATTGACACACGCATGCAATCTAAGTCTCGAGAATTCTCAGATCTAAAAGAATCAGTTAATCAAACCCGGCTTGGCCAATCAGGGATTGATCACGAGAGTAAACAGAGATCTAAGGCTGAATATGGCAGTACACCCTCATACAGCAGACATGTACAAGGTTACGCTGAATCAGACTATGAGGACAGTAGGAGAATAATACTAAGAGACCGAGAATCTCATAGATCTTCTCCCTACCACGCACATCACAGGGCTCATTGTGAATCACGGACTTCACACCGCAGTATGCACAGAAATACGCACCAATCACCGTCAAGCCACTATGATAGACGCACCGACAAAGCTCGTGCATATCAGGATAGTAATCCTAAGCGTGCACCCTCTCATACTGCCACACAGTCCTGTTATTCGGGCGAAGAAAGCGAGGGAAATATGACATCACCATACAGTTATAGACCACGTGATTCCCGCACAGCTTGCTGTAAATCAGACGACCGGGATTACGATACCCTCAGCCATACGACCCACTCCCAGCCCAGCCAGAGTAGGGGGTGCCGATCTACACCTGAGTATTCAGGCTATGGGGACACTGCTATAGAGGAGGATTATAGATCAAACAATTACTCCCTTAGAGACATCATAGAACTTTATGAACTAATGCCCACCTTAAAACCAGATCAGGACAGTACACCCGTTAAACCCTTGATTGAACGTGCAGGATATGAGGGACTGGATAAGGGGACCGAACCATTCCATACGCTTCCCCCTCCGTCATATTTGGATGACGTCATCAAGAGAACTGAAAATCAATTGAACTTTTCAGCGGGTCCTAGTGCTAAACTGAGGCCTATCTATATTAGATCTGCTTACAAAACACATGATGATCCGTTCACACTACAGCCTAGCATTGACGAAGATTACTTCGATCTGGTTAAGAAACCTAACCCCAATATGCGCATTGATATGTCCAAGATCAAGAGCTTAGATAAGGTCAGTAAACAAATGATTAATACCAGTTCTTACATCAACTGGTTAGCAGCTGGTATTCGCCATGTCATACCCCCGTACAACCAGAGCGATGATATTCCCTTAGACACTTCCACGGAACTGACTAGTCAGAAGACGGGATTTATCCACAGCTCATTAGACCACATACTGAAGATGCAGGAAGACCTCCTATCAGCTCAAGTATGGATGTCAGCGCAGTTTCTGCTCATGCAAAGAATACACTTACTACAGCAAGTTCATCATGTGATGCCAGACCCTTTAAAGAGATCCATGATGTCACAGCCCATTACGTCATCGCAGATTATCAACGGTAGACTGAAGTCGGTGAAGGAAGCCATTATCTCGTCAACTAACCAGAAATTTCAGGAATCCACCATCTCGTTAGCATCCAAGTTACAGAGACAACCGGCGGTTACTCGACCCCAGCGACAGAGTCCTGGACCCCGACGCGAACAGTCCAACCGGGATTCTTTTCGAGCCTCTACACAGAGAAACAG